TCACTCTGTCACCCAGGCTGGAGTGCAGTGGTGCAATCTCAGCTCAGTGCAACCTCCGCATCCTGGGTTCAAGCAATTCTCCTGCCTCAGCCTCCTGAGTAGCTGGGATTACAGGTGCGTTGCACCACACCCAGCAAATTTTTGTATTTTTAGTAGAGACAGAGTTTCACCATGTTGGCCAGAGGTTGGGGCCGGGGGCGGTGGCTCACGCCTGTAATCCTAACACTTTAGGAGGCCGAGGTGGGTGGATCACGATGTCAGGAGATTGAGATCATCCTGGCTAACACAGTGAAAAACCATCTTTACTAAAAATACAAACAAAAATTAGCATGGTGGTACGTACCTAGCCAGAGAACATATTCTGGCTACAAGGAACGAAGCGAAGCTCAGATTTTGTATTTTTAGTAGAGACAGGGTTTCACTATATTGGCCAGGCTCAAGCTCCTACCTCAGGTGATCCACCCACCTCAGCCTCCCAAAGTGCTGGAATTACAGGTCCGAGCCACTGTGCCCAACACATTTTTTTTTTTTTTTCTTGAGACATAGTCTTGCTCTGTTGCCCAGGCTGGAGTTCAGTAGTTCAATCTCAGCTCACTACAACCTCCACCTCCTGTGTTCAAGTGATTCTTGTGCCTCAGCCTCCTAAGTAGCTAGGGCTACAGGCACGCACCACTGTGCCCAGCTAATTTTTGTATTTTTAGTAGAGATAGGGTTTCACCATGTTGCCCAGGCTGGTGGAGAATTCCTGACCTCAAGTAATCTGCCTGCCTCAGCCTCCCAAGGTGCTGGGATTACAGGTGTGAGCCACCGAGCCCAGCCAGAGAAGGAGATTTTTGATGTGAGTAGAAGCAAGCTGTTGAGAGGCTTTAGTCAGGAGGGTGACCCAGTTGGATCTGCATTTTGGAAAGATCCCACCAGCTGCCCAGTGGAGAATGAAATGGAAGGGGGCAAGAGTGAAAGCAGGGGCAGATAGGACGCTCTAGCAGCACCCAGGGGAGATGGGGGACTGGAGATGCAGAAAAGGGCATGGGCTGGAGGTCGGTAGAGGAGGAAGCATCATCAGGATTGGCAGTGATGCAGAGGGCAGTGTCCAGGGTGACTTGCAAGGTGGGGCCATTCCCTGAAGAGAGGGCATGGTTTGGGGGTGGGGGGACAACACATGGGGTTCACTGTTGGACCTATGGGTTTGATATGTGCACATGGAGACAGAGATGACACTGCCTGGAGCACAGAGGAAGGGCTGTCAGGAGAGAGAATTGGGGGTCTTGACTCTGGAGACCATCTGGGTGTGGAGCTGATCCAGGGAGACTGTGCGGCCGGAGCAGAGAAGAGGGCTCGGGTCCAGGCTTGAGTGAGCCCGTGAAAGACAGACGGGGAGCAGCCAGGGTGCAAAGGAAACCCAGACAGGGCCGCACCCCAGAGACAAAGGACAGAGTGTCATCTACATGTCAGACTCCTGAGGGGCCAGCCTAGCTGGGACTGAAGAATGCCCATTGGCTTCAGCAACATGGAGGCCATTGGTGTGCTTCAGTGGGCATTGTTCCAGTGAAGTCAGGCTGAGAGCAGAAGTCGACTGGTGGGCTGAGGAGGAAGAGGACAGGGAGGGGAGATGGAGGGATGATGGGGGCTTGACACGAGGGGAAAGATGGGAAGACACTGTCAAGATGGATGGAGCTAATTAAGACACATTTCGATGGGAAAGGTTCATCTGAGAGAAAGTGTTGGAAGCCATCAAGATAGAAAGGATGGTGGTTCTGGGTGGCTCTGAGAATGTGGGGTATGGTGCGTTGTTGGACGGGTTGGCTAGCCAGAGGGTCCAGCGGGTGCTCCAGGGAACATATTCAGGGTAGAAGGAATGAGGTTAAGTTCAGAAAGCTGGAAGCTTGCCTTGGATGTAGAGGAATTTGGGGTGATGAGAAGCCTCCAAGTGTGACCATGCTGAGGGTCACTGAGAGGTCAAGGGGCAGGAAAGTCCTTGGATAATGGAGTGACATGAAATTGAGGTAAGAGCTGGAGAGAGAAGACTGAAGCATTCCAAAAACAAGGTGGAGTGGCAGCCCCAGGCAGGGAGGAGACAGAATGACCTATGGCACCAACCTCCCAGCAGAAGGGGTCTTGTAAGGAGGGAGACAGGAAGTAAGGCTACCAACCTCTTTTTTTTTTTTTTTTTTTGAGATGTAGTCTCGAGCTGTCGTCCAGGCTGGAGTGCAGTGGTGTGATCTTGGCTCACTGGAACCTCCGCCCCCTGGGTTCAAGCGATTCTCCAGCCTCAATCTCCTGAGTAGCTGGGACTACAGGTGTGTGCCACCACACCCAACTAATTCTTTTGTATTTTTAGTAGAGATGGGGTTTCACTGTGTTAGCCAGGATGATCGTGATCTCTTGACCTCGTGATCCACCCACCTCAGCCTCCCAAAGTGCTGGAGTTACATGCGTGAGCCCCCTCGCCTGGCCCCAACCTCTTCTTTGTGGGAGACAAAACAGCTCTCCCCTTGGAAGTCCTCAGGGGATCCAGTTTAGAAGACAGCCTGGGTGGCAGGGCCAAAAAGGGTGGGTCAGGGCCCAAGAAGATTGGAATCATCCCAGGTTTGGGTGTGGCAGAGGTATTAATAGATTAATAGATGGATCCTGCACTCAGGTATTGCCTGGCAAAACCAGGATTGAAAGGCCTCATGGTCAGTCTCTGAAGAGGGTGGGCCCTGAGCTGAGTGGACAGTGGCCTGGGGGCGTCCACATAGCAATCTCATGTGGAAGAAATTTCTGATCCCATTTGACAAGTAAGGAAACACAGGCACAGAGACATGGAGAGGGTAAGGAATTTACTCAAGGTCACACAGCATAACCACTTATTACTAAGTGATTCTTCTCAGGGTCAAACCTTGGAACAGAGCTTTGAACACTGTCAGTCTGACTCCTGAGCAGGGATTCTTGTCCATCCTGTCTGTAACTGCCACTGTGGGGCTCCCCTCCCCTACCCCCACCTAAGGAAGGGGAGTGCCATTGTGTCCCTCCACTCACAGACTTTGGTGGAAGGCCATTTGTCCCTGAAAGGAGGATGGGGGCTAGCCGCAGGCTGCCTGCAGAGCCAGACCCTGAGCACTGAGGACACAGGAGCATTGAGAAGAAAAAGAGATGAGGGTGACCATAGGGGACCCTCCTGGATTGAGTACCAAGCCCCACCCCATCCTTGGCTTCCCAGACTCCACAATCCCAGAAGGGGTCCGACTCCCTCTGCGTGGCTGAGACTGAGTTTCTGGCCAGCCTTGGTGAAGCAAGGGAGAGGGCAGTTAGATTTAAGGTGACTCAGGAAAGCAAAGGCGCCCAGGAGCTCCTGCACCTGGCTCCTGCCACAGCCGCATCACAAGCCCCTGGCTTGTCTACCCTGCTGCGCTGGAGCTTAGCCTAGCAATTCTTGGATCCCTCCCAGGTGAGCCCAGCACTTTGTCCACAGACGTCAGTCAATATTTGCTGAATTAAATCTGGGGCCCAGCCTGGGAGCTCCTGGCCTTGGAGCCAGACTGTCTGACTTTGAATTCCAGCCCCGCCCCATGCCAGCTTTGTGACTTTGAGCATGCCATTTAACCTCTCTGAGCCTCGGTTTTCTCGCCTGAAAAATCGGAGTAGTGCCAGCTGCAGGGGTGGGAGACCTGTGCAATCGCACTTTGGTGGGCTTTGCGCTTGGTTTCATGCCCTGCTGTCCCTGGTTTGAAATTCTTCACCCGATTTTTTTTTTTTTTTTTTTTTTGAGTCGGAGTTTCGCTCTTGTTACCCAGGCTGGAGCGCAATGGCGCGATCTCGGCTCACCGCAACCTCCGCCTCCTGGGTTCAGGCAATTCTCCTGCCTCAGACTCCTGAGTAGCTGGGATTACAGGCACGCACCACCATGCCCAGCTAATTTTTTTGTAGTTTTAGTAGAGACGGGGTTTCATGGTCTCGATCTCTTGATCTCGTGATCCACCCGCCTCGGCCTCCCAAAGTGCTGGGATTACAGGCGTGAGCCACCGCGCCCGGCTCTTCACCCGATTTTAAACAAGGAGCCCTCACATTTTCATTTTGTATTGAGCCCCACAAATGATGTAGCTGGGGTCCTGAACGGAATTAACAATATTATCTGCCTTAGAGAGTCGTTGCAAGGATTAAATAAACTGATCTGCTCAGCACATAAGTAGTAAGTACCCAATAAATAGGAACAAAGGCCTATTGTCTCTTGCTGTTAGCTCAGCCCCAGTGCCCATGTGTGATAAATGAATGAAATGACCGAATGAGTGACAGCCTGGAAGCGTCTGGAAGCGAAGGTGCCAGGGTGACGGGGGATGGAGGTGAGGGTTGAGAGGAGCTGGAAAGGAAGTGGGGGCAGTTTTGCACCCCACGTTGTGCAGCTGCAGTATCTTCGGTAGCCGATGATCCACGCTGTGGTCTGGACCCGGCAGCCACACCCCGCAAAAAGTCCACTTGGCGAGAGCTGAGAACGAGCGTTCCAGTCTTTATTATGGGGGCGATCAGTCTCTAGTTCCCGGGCCGTGGTCCACGTCCAGCTTCCGGAGCCGCCGCAGGAATCCAGCCGCAACGGGCTCCGCGACCCACGAGCCCCGCCGCCCTGCCCAGTCCCGGTCCGGAGGCGGGGCCGCGGTGCGCCCGGCGCAGGCGCAGATCGGCCCGGCGCGGGGCGGTGCTCAGAGGAAGGGGTTGGTGCCGCTCTGCGGGGGCGGGGCCCTCGGCCCGGCTGAGCTGGGCGTGGGCAGCAGCGGCTGCCCCAGGCCCGCGGGGGGCGGCGCGAAGGCTCCGGCCTGCGGGAGGACGCTGACCGAGGCGGGGAGGGTCACGCCGGCTGGCACGCTGCTGAGCGGGAGGGGCAGAGAGGCGCTGTAGGTCATGGAGCCCAGGGGCGCTCCCACGGGCCCGCCCGCCAGGCCCAGCGCCGGCGACCCGGTGCGCATCTGGTTCAGCGTCGGCCTGCCCAGCTCGCCTGCGCCGAACGGGTTGGTGGGAGACGGAGAGCTGAGACCTGCAGAACGAGAATGCCTTGGAGCGATCGCTATCTTATACTAGGAGGTCTTGGAAGTGGGGAAGGAGAGGGAGCTCTCCGGCTGAGGCTGGGCTCTGAAAGCAGAGGCCCCTGGGTCAGGGGGATGTCCTACCTGTCAAGAAGGGGTTCCGGGTCTTCACAGCCTGGGGCGCCTTGACCAATGAGTCAAGGTTGACCAAGGAAGAGGCTGACGGGCCCAGGAAGGACTCGGGAGTCCAGCAAGCTCGGGCCTCTTTGCTTGGCTGGGTTAGTGCTTCCCCCAGTACGCCCAGGTCCAGGGCATCTGGCTCCTTCGTGCCATTTTGCTTGGAACTGGGGCTGGGGTCTCCAAACAGGTCCAGCTCTGGAATAGAAATGCTAGAGCTCATTGGTGGGGAGAGGGATTGGCGTCTGACGTGGGAGGAAGATAGAGGCCGCCCCGGGGGGCCCCTGGTTCTCCAGAGCCGCCCCATCCCCTTGCCCTGCTCACCTGCAGGGCTGCTGGGCTTCCCAGAAGGCAGGGCCTGCTCCAGACCCTCCTTGGTCTCTGTGGATTCTGGAGGTTTGGCAAATGGATCAAAGGCCGAGGCATCACCTACAGCTAGCCGAAGAGAGAGGGGGAGGAGATGGGATGGCAAAAAGGGCAGATACCGGTCTGACCCCTTTCCAGGGGTCAAAACAGCATCCGCTGCCCCCTTGGCCCTGGAGGGAAGGGGACCTGGAAGTGCCCCAGCCCCTCACTCACACTCTCTGGCCCTCTTCTTACCAGGCGTGTCGGAGGTCTCCATGGAGGCCCCCCAAGGGTCAGCCCCAGTGCTGGGGAGTTTGTGATGGGGAGAGTTGAGTGCCCAGGGGTCTGTGGTGAGGGGCTCAGCAGGCAGCACTGGGGTCCTGCCCCAGGGCTCAGAGGAGGACAGCATGGGAGTCAGGTCCCATGGCTGGCTTCGGGATAGGATGGTTCCTGAGGGGATTGGAGACCAGGGGTCTGCAGAAGGCCCCCAGGAGGAGCCACTGGTCTCTGTGTTCGGCCTAAGACCTGAAATGAAACAGCACAGACATGACCCCAGGCCCACCCTTAGCCCTCTCCCAGGGCCCTTCCCAGTTACCCAGCCTGAGCTGGGAGTCGGGGGATCCATGTCACAGAGTGACTGTGGCCTCAGAACCACCCAGCAGGCTGGAGGCTGTATTTGGTGAGTGACCCCAGAAGCTGGGACCTGCAGGCCACCTTCACAGGCAGGGACGGGCTGAGCAAGTGAGTGCAGCAAGAGAACATTTGCTGCGTTTCCTAGGAGCTGAGCTCTTCAAACATGCTCCCCAGGCCGCACTACAAAAGCCTGTCCCACAGGCCTCAGAGGCGCATGGTGGTGAGTGACTTGCCCGGTGACAGTCAGGTGTTGGAGGGAGGTGCTTTGCCAGCAAGTGTCTGGGAAGGAGAGGGCTTTGGGGCCAGCCTGGAAGTCTCTTGCAGCCCTGCATGCCCACCTGGGATGTCCCATGGGTCAGCAGAGCAGTGTGTGGAGGGCGGGGCCGGGGCAGGTACGAAGATGTCGGCCAAGTCCAGGATGGAGGACTGTGGAGGGGAGAGGCAGCCGGGGCTCAGAAGTGGGCGGGGCTCAGAGGGAGGGCAGGCCCTGACCCGTCAGCCTAATGGCAGCTTATTCTCTTTATTCATTCCACAGATACCTAGTCACGATCCCTCTCTTCTGCACAGTGCTTTACAGTTTATAATGTTTCTTCATCCACAGATTACCTGATTTTCATAACAACCCTGTGAGGTAGGTAGGGCAGGTGATGTACCCATTTTATAGATGAGCCAGCCCAGGCCCAGAGGGAGGAATGGGTTTGCCTGAAGTCACACAGCCAGGGAGAGGCAAAGCTGGGATAGAATTCAGGCCAGCAGGAAGGGGCATGAAGGGCAAAGGCAGATGTTTTTCAACCAGCCTACTTCCCTGGGTCAGTGTCCAAGAGAAACTGGCCACAGTGAACATGGGCAGAAAGAAGACCATAGCACCTGGGCGTGGTGGGGGCGGCTCTGGAGGGCAGCCGTGCACTCAGCAGTTGCCCGCTCCCCACGCGGGGAAAATCCGTCCACGAGCCCAAGGTGTGTTCAGCACCATGTGCTTGGGCCACCCTAGTCTTGATCGACAGTATCACATAATCCTCACATGTCAGAGCTGCAACTATCCAACAAGCACACTGTGCAGAAGGGGAAACTGCGGCCTGGACAGTGACATGCCCCAAGTCATAGAGTGAGTAAGTGGCAGCAAATCCAGAGCCCAATCCAGGGGTCTCCGATCAGGATCCTTTTGTATCCCACTTTGCTGTCAGCTCAATCCCCAGCCCCTGCAGTGTGGGACTAGGGCCGCTACACCCCACCCCCATTTCATCTCATAAACACTTCAGTGCTTAGTATATGCCAAGCACTGCTCTGCTCTCTCTTGACAAATACTCAGCCCATCTCCTAGGCCCTGTCCCGCCCATGCGGCCCAGCCCACTCCCTACCTGGCTGGTTTTTAGCTTCTCCTTCTCCTTTCTCTCTTCTCTCTCGAGCTCTCTGCCCTGCTGTTGATGGACAGCAGCCCCTGCACCGTTGGCCACGGGGGAGCCATCACCCCGCCAGGACCTCACCTCCTGCAGAAGGCACAGAAGGAGTCAGGAGCATGAGCAGCCAGGACTCCCAGGACCTGTGCACCCGAGGCTGGAGTCGAGGAGCTGAGTGCAGGGTGGGAGGCAGCTGAGAGGTTAGGAGCAGCAGTGGGAGGAGCCTGTTAGTGCCCTGAAGCACCTCCACCAGCAGCAGCAGCAGCACCAGAGGCCCTGCGGGCTAGGCCCACTACCTTCTCGTGCTCCTGCCGGCTCAGGCGTAGAGCCAGCTGCAGCTGCAGGTCCTCATCCCTGTGGGAGGCTGGGGGGACAGGCTGCGGAGGAAGAGAGGGGTGAGCTTGGCCCTGTACCCCCCACCCTGGGACCAGAAGGGCAGTATAGCCCTGCCTGGGTGGTGGGGATGGAGAGACAGGTGCCCACCCTGAGTGTGCATGGGCGGTTTGCCCCTCAGCAGGGTGAGTATGGCCTTCTCCCTGCCTGCATCTGAAATGCAGTTTAAAGATCAGGAAGACTGGTCTTTAGCTTCTGAATCCTCTGAGAGTTCCCCACCGCCCTCCTGTGTGGGGCCCAGCTGCCTCCTGCCCGGTCTTCCTGGATCCACAGAGGTAACGGCAAAGATCATGATATCGGGGGCCCGTCCTTGTCTCCCCAAAAGGACAGCTGCTGGGGGGACAGCATATGTCAGTGTCTGAGCATACCCTCCCCACCATGAGGTGGTAGCAGGCCCCCCAAGACATGCCATGTGCCCCTAATTGCACACTCGCCACCCTTCCCAGCTCCAGTGGAAAGGACTAGAGGCAGGGAGGCAGTCCCTGCCTGCAACAAACCAAAGGAACAAGTGGGCCTTGTGCTGTCCTTGGGAGCAGGAGTTGGGCTTCAGGTGGACAGAGCCTGAGTCAAGGCTGAGGGGCACTCTCTCTCCTAGCCCATCCCCTCCCCACCACAGCCCGGAGCCATGTAGCCTCACCTTCTCCGCCTCCTCGCGGCTCATGGCCAGGGCCAGCTGCAGCTGCAGCTCCTCTTCCCCTGATGTCTGAGGCCGGGCCTGCTCCAGGTCGGAGGTACAGCGGGGTGATGAAGAGGAGGCTGCAACGACCATCATGGCTCTGTGACCACACCATTACCTGGCTCCCACACCCTCTGCCTGCCAGGAAGCTGAGGCTCAAGGAGGAGAACTGAGAGGAGGGGAGCAACAGGCTGTGGAGGCCCCCATGGGCCAGGCAGTGTGCCGGCCACTGTAAGTTCCCCATCCCTCCCTGGTGGGATGGCTCCAGTCCCTCCTTGGCAGATGCACAGGCAGCCACAGGGCACCTGACCAGGGTTCCGAAGCAGGACTTGAACCCAGGTTTCCTGACTCCAGCTCTTGGACTTCCAGACAGACCCCATCCTGCTTGGGGGGAAAGGGGAGTGCAAGGATAGGAGCTTGTAGTCCAACGAGGTCACAGCCTCAAAGCCCTCAGCAAATTGTCAAGGGCTTTATGGAAGGAGGGCCATTCTGAGTACTCAGATCCAGGAAGCCCACACCACTGGGGGCAGAGACTCAGGGACTGTCTGGCAGCTGCCCTCAGGTAGGGGATGAAGGGGGAGGCCATGTGTCTGGGCGCAGGGTAGAGGGAATTCCTTTGCCTGGTCTCATTTCATTCTCAGATCAAATGATGGAGGTAGGTGAACCTGTCCCCATTGTACATATGAGGAAACTAAGGTTCAGAGAACTGGCTGCCCAGGTCACACAGCTTGGAGGAAGCAGAATAAAGAATGCTATCTGACTCCAAAGCCCATGCTTCCACCATCCCCCATCCTATCAGGCAGCTAACAAATGATAATGAATCAACAACATTATTATCTGAGCTGACACGTTGAGCGCCTCCCGTGTGCCGGATGTTGTGCCTTGCATGTTACATTCCTTATGTCTGAATCCTCGTAACACCCCTCAGAGGTAGGTATTATGAACCATGGCTCGGCTTGCAGAGCCAGGATTGGAAGTCAGGCCACCTCCCCATCCCAGCCAAACGCCGGGGGGCTCACTCACAGTTGTAGGAGGACGGGGAGCCCCGGGAGCGGCCGTAGTCCTCGCCATAGCGGCGGCTGAAGCCCAGCTGCCCGCTGCCAATGCCGATGCCCTCCAGTGCCATGCGCTCCTTGGTCTTGAGGGCGTGGGTCCGCTCCTGCCGCAGCCGCTCCTCGTCCTTGAGCAGGGCCATCACCTGCTTGACCTTCTCGCGCACGTTGACGCCCTGGTCCTTGCCATCGCGGTCGATGTACTGGAAGTCCTTGAGCGTCTGGATGGTGTAGAGGTTCTCGCGGCACTGGTGGGCCACCCGCTCAGAGCCCGTCTTGAGCAGGTAGTCCAGCAATGTCAGGGCCTTATACACGTGCCGCCAGTTCTTGCCGCTGTCATTGAGCCGCCGCCACAGCATGCCCATGACCTCAGTAAAGGCCACCGTGTTGAAGGTCAGGTCAGCAATCTCAGACATGAGCGAACTCGGGGGGCCCCAGGGGTCATTGCTGGTGGCCTCGCGCACCTTGATTTCCGCCTCGGTGTAGTTGTGCACGATGTTCTTCACCTGGCGCCGGAGCGCGGAGGTCGTCATGGCTGGAGACTTGGAGGTGGGCAGCCCTCGCCCCCGCTGGAGGTGGAGGGCTGAGGGCCACTGTGGCGAGGTCACGGTCTCGAAGGATGGGTTGCCGTGTTCTTAGCAGAGCAGCTGTGTCCTTGGGTTCCACATGGGGCTAAGGAAGAGAGAGCCTGGAACTCAGGGGCACAGGCCTACCTCAGGGGTCACTCAGCCACTGACCAACTAAATGAGGCCTGGCCAGAGTGTCCCTGCATCCAGGAAAAGCCTTCAGCAGCACACGTTCTTATTTCACTTATAATTCAGCAGGCACTTGTAGTCTTGCATGCTCATCTGCCTGTCTGCACGGTCTCACCACAAAGATGGAAAAGGTGGGGCTCAAAGAATATTAAATGGGCCCAGCATGGTGGCTCATGCCTGTAATTCCAGGACTTCAGGAGGCCAAGGCAAGAGGACTGCTTGAGGCCAGGAGATGGAGGCCACAGTGATCCATGATCGTGCCACTGCACTCCAGCCTGGGCAACAGATCGAGACCCTGTAATATTAAGTGACTTGTCCGAGATCACAGTGCTGCTACGTGGGGGACCGGGATGACCCCAGGAAGCCCCCCTAAGAGGGCACGGCCTCATGGGGGCACACTAACAGTATTCCAGGAATGCCCACTTGCCTTGCTTCTGCTTGGCCACCTCCTCTATTTCTGCGAGATCTAGCTTAAGACCTATCCTTTCCAGCTCCCCAGCTCACTTTTCTCATATTGTTAATTTTTGTAGTTTGATGCATTCAACACCTGTTTCCTAGAGGCCTTTTCTGAGCCAGGCACCATGCCAGGCACAGAACACACGCCTTGGTCCACCCACATTCAGTTGAGAGGGTACAGAAAATCACAGTCCAGTGTGGGAGTGCAGAGCAGCACAGGAAGACCCAAGCCAGGAAAATCAGAGGAGACTTCCTGGAGGAGGTGGTGGTGGAGCTGAGATCCAAGATCCAAGAGAAGAGTGAGGAGGAGTGAACCAGCAAGTCGGGGAAGGCAGCTCAGAAGAAATGCTGTGAGCTGGGCCAGAAGGCAGGAGAGCAAGGATCATTTGAGGAAAGCTGCCCCTCAGAGATCTGGCCACTGCCACCACCAGTGCCACTCCCATGTACACACGAAAGTGCTGAGGCCAGAGAGGGGATGGGACCTGCCTATGTCACTTGGGTGGCAGAGCCTTGACTAACATCTAGGTCTCCAGAAGACTAATCCAATGCTTACTGTCAGTGTTACCCAGTTTGGTCATTAATTCATCGGACTGCTTTACTGTCTCAGTCTCACCTTCTGAGCTGAAATGGAAGCTCCCTGAGAGTAGGAATGGTCTGGGTTCTCTAAAGCCCCAAAGCCCTGAACACATGGTGAACCTCTGGTACCCAAGCAGGGAGAGGAGCTGGGCCAGCCCAATTCCCTCCCCACAGCTGCAGATCCAGGCTAGCTGCTGAATGCAACCCCAGGCCAAGGTCCTCCCAAGGCCCTGTTAGATACCAAAAGAGGAATGCCCTGGCCGCTTCCCTTCCTCCCTGGCTCGCACTGGTGTGTGCACACACACACTAGCTGGGCCTCACTTCACCTGTGAACTGCCCCCACCCACCAAACACCTCTCGGCTCCACTGTCCATCCCAGCCCATGCCCCAGCTGGTCCCCAGGCTGCCAGATGCAGGAAGCTAAAGGAGACTCTCCTCCCCCACCCAATTCCACGCTTCTTCCACCTGGCCAGTGCTGGGCTCAGTTCAAAGCGGCCCCACAGGCCTTGGCAGGTTTTGTTGGGAGCCCAGAGAATAGGAGCCCCTGGGAGCCAGCGAGGTGGAAGGCCTGGCCCACAACACAGCCTACCTTTTGTCTGCTGTCTGTCTTTCCTTCCAGTGGGTGGCGGGCCTTCTGTGGGGATGCCACGGCCACAACTTGTTTAACTCCTGCCCTCCCCCTTGCTAGTGACTCAGACCTGCCTTTACCTCCCCAACCCGTGGTTGGGGGTGGCAGAGTGAAGATGGGAAATAGTATGAACCAAAGCCCGCCCAGCGCACGCCCCTCCCTGCTGGCCGCCCCTATCTGCTGGCCACTGGAACTAGCAGAACCAGTTGGGCACTGTGACTCCACCAGAGCCCTACCTGGACCTGGCTGCCCTGGCCCTCCTGCCTGGCCCGGGTGGGAGCACCAGCCTCAGTGGTAGGGGACTCTTGGTGTGGGCCCAGCGGCCCTGCCTGGACCTTTCTCCCAGAAGGTGGGCATTCTCTGCACACCCCTGCAGGAGCTGGGGGAAGGGCGGGGTCAGAGACAAAGGGAGGCACCTTGACTTTCCTTCTCCGGAGTTTGAGGGGACAAGGTGGGAGCAAGAGGCGCCAAGGTGAGGTTGCCAGAGCACAGAGAGGGGAGGAGGAAAGGAAGGCGAGAGGGAGCAGCTGGGAGCGCTGCCAGCAGTGTTACAGCAAAGGGTTTTATCGAACACAATATGCCCAGAAATAAAAGGGAGTGAAACAGAAACCCAGTGGCTGATAAGGCAGCGGTGGTGGCGGTAGCAGCGGCAGCCCTGGGCAGCTGGGTATGGAATTACTGCAGTGACCTTGAGCCAGACCCTGTCAGGTGGAGGGAAAGGAACGGAGAAGGCAGGGCCTGACAGGCCAATTCAGAGATGAGGGAGAGGGCAGAGGAGGAGGCTGGGGGGGATGGGAGCAGGGCCAGCAGGGGTGGGATGGGCACGGAGTATCAGCTGTCTCTACATGCAGGGTCCCAAGGAGAACTGCGTAGTGGGGAGGGGCTGCTCCTCTCAGGACCTGCAGGATGGGGGTGCCTGGAGTGTTTCCTAAAAGTCAGGACCAAAAAATGCAGATCACTCATCCCCATCGAGGGGTTCAGAGAGATGGAAAGAACCAGATCTGTCCAGTCACACGTGCCTGAGTTTGTGCAAAATCTGTGCACCCACCCGCTGGTTGCACCCCCTTCCCGTCCTCTGCTAAGGCGGGCTCCAGCCCCTGCCCCCAAATCAAGTCCAGCCTGAGCAGTAGGGAATGACAGTGCCCTTATTAACGCTGTAGGGACAGGAGTTGAGCTTGAGCTGTAAGCTTCTGGCCACCCTATCAGCCCTGGAATAGCTGCATCCTGGGGGCATCGGAAGTGCGGGGCGGGGGAGGGGGCGGCCCTGAGGCTAGAGGTGAGCATGAGGGGCTGAGGAAGAGGAAATGCAGAGATATGCGGAAGGAATCTATGGGGAATGCCACCAAAGATCCCGAGTCCCAGGATGGGATGGGGAGGGGGCCCTGAGTCCCTTTCCAGGCGCCGCAGGGAGGGAGGGGTGGCAGGAAAGAAGCCCTTAGGTCCTCTACAGCTCAGCCTCCTCCCTCGCACCTGGGAAAGAAACTAAGCCCTAAGCCCACTCTTTGCTCCCCACCAACCCCCACCTTCAGGCCGCCACTGCTAGGGAGGGGGTCAGGAAGGAAGCTTACCTCCAGTTCGGGCTCCCTTGGCCCCAGCCCTGGCCTGAGTAGCCTTTGCGGTGACCCTCCGATGTGTGCGGCAGGGGAATGGCACAGCCTCCGGAGCGTCTCCAGAGCCATCCACCATGGACCTTTGTCCCAGAGACCCACCTGCTCCCAGGAGGCGTGGACCCCTCAGAGGGGCAGCAGCAGGGTCCCTGGAATGGGTAGCAGCTCTTCCTGCGTGCGTTTGCCTCCTAGCCAGCGCCTGGCAGCACTCGGAGGAAAGTTGCTCAGCTGGCCCGGCAGGTCTGCCTCAGCAGTAACAGGACACAGGAGGAAGCGCAGGGCAGGTTAACCCCTTCCTGCTGGCCGGGCAGGTGGTGCATTGAGAGGTGGGAGGCCTGCCTCCTGGCTGTCCCCTAGAAGTGCAGATCTGGAGCCAGCGCTGGGGACTCACTGCTTTGAGTTAACTCTTCCCCTGCCTCTTCAGCAGGAAAGAAGGGGGGCTCCAACACCCCCACCACACCCCTCCCCTTCCTCCTCTGGGCCAGGAGGACGTTAAAGGAGAGGGCAGGGCTATTTCCTGGGGCTGGCCCTTTGGTGGAGCCCCTGCCTTCTGGGGGAGGAGGGCATCAGGACTCCAGCACAGCCCCCTCCCTGCCTCTCCCACACAGAGTCAAGAGTCCTGCTCTCTCCATCCTCCTTCTCCTCCTCCTGCGTCTCAACTGGAGGATGCCTGAGGCTCACTTAAGGACACCTACCCACCCAAAAACCAAAGTTGTTCTTCAAACTCTGGGAGCCTGGAGTGCCGTTCACATGGGGAGCCCAGCCCCAAATGGTTATGACTGACAGGAGACAATGACGGGTCTGAGTTTGAGCTGACAATACCGTTCTTTCTGAGAGCCATTTCCAGCCTGTTTCCTGTTTCCCTGAGCAAGGGAGGTGGCATGAAGACCAGCAGCTGTTTTTAAGGCGGAAAGATGGCCCAAGGCCAGATGGTCTGAGATGAGGAGGGGGATAAGGCAGCCTAGACCCCGAAGTAACAAGGTGATATGGCCTCTAGAGCTGGAGAGGTCCGGTCAGCATGATCTTCAGGGACTGGCTTGGGGCCCTGGGACCCAGCTGAAGAGGGGAGATAGCAGGGAGCCAGGTCCCGTGGGTCTAGTTCTACTCCTCGTCTCACACTTTGTCATACTTGGTGATGACACGTCGGGAAGACCTGGCTCCAGGAAGCATCACCCTAAAAGTGTGGGCCAAGGAAGCCAGAGGCAGAGACTACCAGGGGTGACGCACTGTGTCCCGTCACCCGACTCACTCCTTGTCTTGCTACCCCCTGCCCTTCTGCTCGGCAGCCCACATGTCACCTCCCCAGCTTTGTCTGTCTCTCCTCCTGCTGGAGGGCTCTGGCAGCTGCTGGCAGGAGGGGATCTGAGGGCAGGTGGGACATTGGAGGACCTGGGCCAGGAGCTGACCTAGCCAGGATCCAACATGGAAGACACAGAGGCACAATAGATTTATTTATTAACCCATTTTCCAGAAGATTGCTTGGGCCCGAGTCACCTGCAGAGATGCAAATGCTCTTCGACATTCTTTACAGGGCTGAGCTCATCAGCTAGGACCATCAGGTCGGTCACCAGGGTGTCCAGCAGCCCATGGACCTAGAAGAACAGGACATTACAGGCGGGGTTTGTTCTGTGGGAAGCTCCTATATATCAGCCGTGTCGTGAGAGAACAGCTGGAGAGGAGGAGAAGCCCAAGTTGTTTGTGAAAGAATTTCACAGGTTCAACCAAAGTTCTTGTGAAGGAATTTTTGGTTTTGCAGACTTTTTTTTTTTTTTTTTTTTTTT